TGGCTCATGCCTGTAATCCCAGCACTTTGGGAGGCCAAGGTGGGCGGATCACGAGGTCAGGAGTTCGAGACCAGCCTGGTCAACACAGTAAAACCCTGCCTCTACTAAAAATACAAAAATTAGCTGGGCATGGTGGCAGGTGCCTGTAATCCCAGCTACTCTGGAGGCTGAGGCAGGAGAATCACTTGAACCCGGGAGGCAGAGGTTGCAGTGAACCAAGATGGTACCATTGCACTGCAGCCTGAGCGACAGAGCTAGACTCCATCTCAAAAAAAAAAAAAAAAAAACTCAAATCATGCTTCTTTTTATTATTTTGTCACATTTAATGTTTTGTAACTTTTTATACGGAATTTTTTAAGCATACACAAAAGTAAAGACAATAGTCCATTGAACACCTGTTGCTCATTACCTGATTCTAATAACGATTAATTCATAGTCATGTCCCCCACACTTTCCCACCTCTGCCATTTTGAAGCAAACAATATATTTTCATCCATTTGTGTCTCTCTGCAGTATGTATCTCTAAGAGATGAGAGCTCTTTTTAAAATAACTACAACACCATTGTCACACCTACTATAAAATTGATAGTAATTCCTTAACATCAAATATAGTATCATTTATTGCACAAAATGGGCCAAGTGTAGTGGCTCATGCCTATAATCTCAGTGCTTTGGGAAGCTGAGGTGAGAGGATCACTTGAGTCCAGGAGTTTGAGACCAGCCTGGGCAACAAAATGAGACCCCCCCCCAACTCCGCAAAAAATTTTTAAAAAATCAGTCAGGATTGGTAGTACACACATGTGGGTCCCAGCTACTTGGGAGGCTGAGGCAGGAGGACTCCATGAGCCCAGGAGGTCAGGGCTGCAGGGAGCTGTGTTTATGCCACCATCCTCCAGCCTGAGCAATAGAGTGAGACCTGTCTTTTAAGACAGATTATTGCATGGATGCTTTTTGTACAGTTGGTTTGTTCCAATGAGAGTCCATATAAGGTCCTCACACTGCCCTTAGTTGATATGCTTCTTAAGCCACACGTAAAACAGGTTATATCGTATGATTCCACTGATGTGTTTAAAAACAGGTAAAATTAATCTTTATTGATAGAAGTCAGAATACTGGTTTCCTCAATGGTTGGGGGAAGACGCTCACTAGCAACCTTTCCTCATTTCTTTGCTAGAATACTACCGTAAAGAAAAGGACTTCATAAAGAGACCCTTTCCTTCATCAACCATTTGATTAGTACGTGGGTCTCACAGAGGAAGTTTGTTAAACGCTTTATTTAGTTTTCAGAATAATGAATTGGTTCTGTAGCACTGACCTGTAATGTTTCTAGTATCCTTATGAACTTACGGATTTTTAACATATTTGATATGTTTTCATCCTTTGCACTTATTCTTACTAATGTTCAAATCATCTCATCTTTGGGCAGTGGGAGGCTCTTCGATTTGGCACCTAAATCCTTTTGACATCAGCATTAAGTTTTAGAGGTGTGTTCCTAGTAACTCTGACGTGGTCCATTTATTTGAACTGTGGTATGCTGTTGCACTGTGTGCCAGATGAACTTTCAGAAATGCAGACGTGAATTGTCTCTTTACTTCTTAAAATCCTTCAATGG